GCGAAGGGCTGTGCCTAGTGTCAGATCATGATTTCAAATTTAGCAAATACTAGAGGCAATTTCGTAAAGACGTCTCCCGACGAGTGATAAGACCAACTGACAGCAGACGATGCTCGATTCTCTCCCGTACGCTTAGCATAGGACCTGCTTGTGACTTTGTTTACGTTTGCACAGATATTTCTTCCAAATGCCTGATAAGGTGCAATTTTTTGATACAAGAGTCTTCCTTGCTTGTTAAGCTGTGGATTTAAACTTTTTTCTCATCATAAATAAATCTCTAGCCTCAAAATTTGTGCAACATAGGCTGAATAATCGCTCTCGCCTATACTTAAGAGCAATTTTAGATAATGCGATTTCGGAAATTTTTTTCTCGAGGATTCAGCTCGTAAAATATATTGAAAAAATTTGTGTGTACTTCAAGTATGTTAAAGGACATTAAATTTTTTTAGCGAGTGAATACATCTCAAAAACAACCAAACCTTCTTAATAATTGTTCTGAGCAGTGGCTGGCTTGACACCACCTATTCGCTGTGAGAATAGAAAGTGGTGCCCTCAGCTCGTGGCCAGTGCTTGTACCACGGGGGGATGCCAGTGGCATCAAATCAACGTATTTCATAGATATCTTTGAATATCTTAAAATTTAAGCATTTCATGGCAAGACATGAAACGTAAAAGTTACAGGAAATTCAATTATAAGTAAGTACCTTTCCATCCCATGCAAATCAAAGCAGGTCTTTTTGTATTACAGTTATTGAAAGTGTGAAGAGCCTGCAAGAGTATGATATAATATACTAGAGTATGATATATGATATACAGTCTATCCAAACGGTATATCTGCTCGGTGTTTTGCTCTTAGTGTTGTTATATATAGACTCTCCGGACGAAGACTATGCTCTGATTGGCCCTGGACGAAAACTATGCTCTTTCGACGTTCCGGGCGAAGATCATGCACTTTTTCTATTTCGGACAAAAACTATGCCCTTTTTTCTGTCTCAGACAAAGACTGTGCTTTTTTTCGAGCCCGGACGGAGACTATGCCCTTTTCCGGAGTTCAGACATAAACTATGCCCTTTTCCGGAGTTCAGACATAAACTATGCCCTTTCTTCTAGTCCGGACTTAGGAAAGCAGGGGCGGCGGAAGACCTGTGGTGGGTGTTAAGAAATCCATACCTCAGGTCTTTATAACTGTATGTATTATATATATATAAATATACATTGTTTTTTTTCTCAGAAACTCCACATCTGGTCATGATCTGTTCCGCCACCCCTGTAGGAAAGGGCATATTTATCGTCCAGGCTTCGAAGTAGGGCATAGTCTTCGTCCGGGGTATCGACATATGGTTAAATAGACGCAACGCACATTTCTTGCCTGAGTTTATCAAACTTTGAACGGCTGTAATGACAGAATGCCAACACTGATTGATATTGGATAAAAAGGCACTTATCCAATTTATATATAAAATAAAAACTAATAATTCAATTAACTATATGTTTTGCGCTTTATGCATCACCATTAAATACTTACTTTTTTAGATATTTTAATGTATCTACAAACTATGTGCTTTTGATGCCCTGGTGCCCCCCCCCCCCCTATGTTTCACTCAGTCGATACCATGGGCGCTGGTGCATATCGTTTTATCCCCTCCAGATATATTCTTGGAGCGAATAGGCCCCTGGCTGGCTGCTAACTCCAGCCACCAGTTTCAGGTTTACTTAAAATTTGCACAAAATTTACAACTCTTAACACTTTCAATTATATATTTATCTACATTCATAGCTTTTTCAACACATTTCCATAGCTTTATTACAAGTTATAACTGTAATCAGAGGTATTAATACAGATAATTATGAAGATAATTTTTTACTAAGCTATGCAAAGACTCAGATTTGGGGTGTAGCATTCATAATTTTTTTTCTCAATAACTTTAAAAGTGATGTAGTTGCATTTTTCTTTAATGATCAAAAATCGATTAGTTGCAATTTCACTACTCTAATACAGTAGCAAAAATTGATACTAAACAAACATTAAGACTTACAGTTTTTGGTTAAAAAAGTTTCATCACCCGTAACATTTTTAAGTTCTATTGCTATTTATCTAAATAAATAGGCATTTAAAAGTTACTTATACTTCTCTCTAAGGTAAATACGTACTATTCATTTAATTTCACCATCCGTCATACAAATGTTAAATCCTTACTATTTGCAATAACACTTTTTATTTTGAACTAGAAAAAATTGTTTTTGCAATACGACAGTGTTTTGCGTTGTCGTTTACTTGGCACCCCTGTCTTTCTGGCGCCCTAGGCAAGTGCCCAATTTGCCCCACCCATAAGCCGCCCCTACGTGTACTTTTTATCATTTTCTACCATGCATGCCCTGTTTTTGTTTCTTGTACTGTATACTATGCACGTTTTGTGAACTAATATTTTATGTTTAACATTAAAACTGTAATCTTAAACATTATTTTTTGTTTACTATTCAAGCGAATTTTTTAATCAAGTTATTAACATATTTTATACTATATGTCATTTGTCTAATGAGTACTCCTAGCACATTGTCACAATTGTGAGTTTTTGTAAGCTTCAATGACATTTAAAATGTCCAACTAAACCCTGGCAAAAAAGTATCTACGAAAAACTATAACAAAACTACGGAAAACCACGAAAGACTACAAAAAACTACTTTTCCACCCTCGGGTGGTTTTGGGAGGCTGGTACTTCCTCGGGCGAAAAAGCAGTTTTCCAGAACTCGTTCGAAAAGTCTTCTTTACGAACCTCGTTACGTCCCTCGCCTTCGGCTCGGGCCGTAAACCTCTCGGTTCGCAAACAGAGACTTTTCAAACTCGTAGGAAAACTACTATTTCGTTGGACAAAGTAGTAGATTTTCGTAGTTGACCGTAATTTATTGTAATTTGCACAAAATAATAAGTACCAGCACCAGATATACGTTCTTGAATTTTGCTACCGACTTAGCCACGGCGTTTTAGCTCTAGCAACATGTGAGCCACGAGATTTTAGTGTTTCCTGAGGTTTAGAATGGAAATAGAGTACTTTGACTATGGTGTCTGTCGCTCTCTTTCTCACTCTCTGTAGGCTCCATTAGCCAATTGTTTAATTTTCGTATTTCCATCACCGCTGCAAAATAAAATTTTGATTTTATCATTTTTGGTTTTTTTTTGGATTTCGATTTTATCGACTTTAAAAAATTTACTTTATTAAAAAAAGTATTCATATTTAGCCTTTTGTTGATGTGTTGGATATTTAATAATAGAAAGTCTGCCATGTCATCATATTATAACAGAAAAAAAATTATTATAAATAGGTACGAAAACTCAAATAAAAGGGTGTGCCTGGGTGTAAATAAGCATGTTTATACTATCATTTTAATCCTAGGATTGCATTGAAAAATTACAATAAAACCATGATTATTTGTCTATTCTTGAAAAGCTATCGCTGCTTAAAAATGTAATTGAGATTTAGTCCAATTCTTTTATTTAATTTTTTATGTGTTTGGAAAATAGTTTTTATTGTTTTAAGATATTTTATATTAGAAACTCTGATAGGTTATAAAATTTTTAATAAAAAATACGTATTAGTATAAAATTAAAAAGTAGAAATACGGATAATTAATATTTTGCATTACTTGTTACTAGATAAGCAATTGTATAATTTTATGATTGTTCACTAGTAGACAATTAATGAATTATACACACGTTTTAGATACTTTTTGCAGTAATTCATAGAATATTGCCATACATAAATTTTGTCATGGTGTATAGATGTAAATAAAATATTAATGTAATGTAATCTACATAGTTTATTTTCCTGAACTTTTTTTTGTGAGCTCAACTTATTTTCAATTGTATTTTGCTATAAAATAATAAAATTTCTTAATTATTGACAACTAATACTTAATATTATTTGGTCTCATTTCTAATTTTAAATTTCGTACTAATACTTATTTTTTATTAAAATGTTTGTGGTTTATCAGAGTTTCTAATATCAAAATATCTTAAAACAATAAAATCTATTTTCCAAACACATAAAAAATTAAGTAAAAGAATTGGACTAAATCTCAATTACATTTTTAAGCAGCGATAGCTTTTCAAGAATAGACAAATAATCATGGTTTTATTGTAATTTTTCAATGCAATCCTAGGATTAAAATGATAGTATAAACATGCTTATTTACACCCAGGCACACCCTTTTATTTGAGTTTTCGTACTATTTATAAAAAAATTTTTATCTGTAATAATATTATGACACAGGCTTTCTACAATTAAATATTCTACAAATCAATAAAAGGCTGAAATATCAATACTTTTTTTAATACAGTGAATTTTTTGAAGTCAATGACACCGACATAGAGAAAAAACAAAAATGATAAAATCAAAATTTCATTTTGCAGCTGTGATGGAAATACAAAAATAAAATAATTGGTCAATGCAGCCTTGACACACACATACACAGAGTGAGAAAGAGAGACAAATATCATAGTCTAAGTACTCTATTTTGATATGAAACCTCAGGAAACACAAAACTCAAGTTGCTAGAATCAAAAAACCGTAGCTAAGTACGAAGATCTCGTGCTGATACTTATTATTTTGTACAAATTACACTAAACTACGAAAATCTACTACTTTGTCCAACGAGTAGTTTTTCGTAGTCTTTCGTGGTTTTTTTTAGATTATCGTGGTATTCCATAGTTTTGTTCTAGTTTTTCATAGCAACTGTTTTTTACTCGAGAATCAGGGGATGCACAACACATCTTTTTACGTTCAGAAGATCAGGACCAATTCAAAAGTAGTGCTGTGATTATGGGTATATTCTTATTACAGATAAGTATTAACAACAAATTTCATTTTATTTTAATAAGTTTAAAGCACTAGGTTATAATCATTGGCAGCTAACAATCAAACTGATAATAACAACAATATGTTTAATATGATACATCACACATGTACTACATGCTACTTTAATTTTTTAACAGTAATAAGTACCTATTTTTCAAGTCTTCAATTGATCTCGAGGGATATTTGTGATAATCCCATCTATCATGAATAATAATAAAACGTAAGTCGAATCTCTGACACAAATCAATTAAGTGATCAGTTTCAGCCTTAGACCATCCGTTTGATGATAGATATTGCGTATAATCTGTATTTGTATATACAGAAATTGCAATTTTTTTATTGAATCTTGCAAATGGATATTCTGTGCCAACATCAGCTAGACGTCTCCAATGATGAAAAATTGCTGCATCCGTACGTGCTGGGTTGGTAAATGGTGTCCATTTCCAAGGTCGCACTTTCTTCATTCCTAACTTAGCTTTTGTTGGTTTGTATCCTTTGCTAGTGTCAGAAGAAAATATAGGTGGCACATCATTATTATCTTTACAAAGCAAAGCAAAAACTTCTCTATGCATTCCTTCTGGTCTTTTAGGAGCTTTACAGTCATACTTTTTCCTGTTTCTTTTGTCAGCAGCTATTATAAGTTCTTTGGTACGTTCATTAGATGGAACATCTAGTTCTAAAATATCTCTTACATCCGACATATTCAATACAAATAAAAAAGTGAAAAAAATAAATTCTAGTGCTCTAAAATGGCTCTGGAACACGCATTCAAAGATTCAAACAAAATTTCTTACTCGAGTCAAAAGGTAGGTAAGTTTTTTTTGTGGTCGGTCAGTCGATCCACTTTTTTCCGCGAAGACAGCGGTCATAAACATACAACACACATAGACTGCTTTCCGATCGGGAGCTATGGACTTAGTTAACGGACCCCACGCGGCAAATGTGAGCCTATATGATCATTTCCACGTGAATCCATTCCTTTTATCTTAGGCGCACACTGTTTTTTTTTTTTTTTTTAACTTCTTGGCAAGATCTGCATCAGGAGTCGATTTCAGCCAAATCCCATTCTTTGCTGCTCGTTCAATGCTCTGGTTTCCGGTCAGGTCGTTACAACAATTATAACCGTGCGTTTACCCTCCAAGGCAATGGAGTGGTCGAAATGTCGGACCGATGTAGTTGCGGTCTTCGTCTGGCTTTGTATAACGAGGAAGGGAGGTGCGACCGATGAGTGAGTTCAGTATGAAGGAAAGGAGGAAGGAAGGGAGTTGTACTAAAATCTGTATATATGTTCATACATTTTTTATTTTTTATTTTTTTTTATTTATTTATTTCCTAAGTAAATGTTTCTCTAAGGTCGTCATTACTCGCTAAAGTTTCATATGCTAAAGTCGTTTGCAATAAAAAATCTTGCTAAAATTCTCATAACTTTTATATTGTTCCCACAAACCATTTTTTGTACATCAAAATTAAGATCTACCTCCTCCCCTCGCAAAGATCGAGTCATATTATTCCTTTATCTGTTTAGTTTAGGGCAGTTCCAAAGTAGGTGCTCCAGTGTTTGCGCATTGTTGCCACATGTGCACTCGCTACCGCTGACTATATATGTTCATTCTGTGTAAGTGGGCTCCCACCCTGGCGTGGCCAGTTTTCATTCTATTAATGCATGTTATTGCTCGGCGCGAGAGTCCGCTCCGTGAAAACCATGTCTTTGTGTCGAACGCTCCCGAGAGTTCTACGAATTTTTTGGCTTTATTATATTTGAGTATATACCGCGTCATAGATTCAAATGTTGATCTTTTGAGTGTTCCTTTGAAGTTGCTCCAATCGGTGAGAGGAACGTTTACTGTATGTGAGATCGATGCAACTTTAGCATGTCTGTCGGCACTTTCGTTTCCTGGGATACCTTTGTGTCCCGGTATCCATGTAAGTTTTATGTTTAGAGCTTTAACTCGCGTCAGTTCGAAAAGTTCTGATCGTATGGCACCAATATATGGGTGCATATACGACTCGAGTCCTGTATTTTCTATCTTACTTAAAACCGCCCTCGAGTCTGAGAAGATTATCAAGTTATCTATATTGTTTGCGATTGCATACTGAAGGGCTTTGAAAATTGCGAAGGCTTCAGCTTCATAGATTGAGGCTTCTTTTAAGAGCCTGAATCTGGCATAATGTGTCATTTTCTTATGTGTTGGAGACCAGAGCACCAGACTACGAATGCGCAGCCGCAAGCGTCTTTATGCGTGTTTTTCGATCCATCAGTGAAGATAAATTCATAGTCGACGTTAACTGGGGATGGGGGAGGCTTTGGAGGTGGTATCAATGGGTATAAGTATTGCGGCCTATTGTCCAATCTATGGTTTCTTTCAGGAAGGAAGCTTGGTACGGGATAGAAAAGGTCTCTGGGATTCGTTTTTTGATGGATTTATCTATCATGGTTTTCCTTTGGGACCATACTTCCTTCAGGGCGAACCCTCTTGACTTCCTGTAGTATTTTTCAGCTATCAGTTTTATTTTGGGGGTTATCATGTTATTAACATTGGTTGAAACCTTGAGTAGGTAGCGTGACGTTAATTCTCTTCTACGGAAAGAAAGCGATTCTATGGCAGCCAACTTGTGCAAAGCGTTGATCGGGGTCGTGCACATGCAACCCAATGCAGTCCTTAGAGCCGAGTTTTGGATAATGTCTAGCTTGTTAAGTAGATTGGTTCTAGTACTGGCGAAAAGGAATGAATCCCAGTCTAGTCTGGGTCTAATAATTGTTTTGTAAATAGAGAGGAGGGTAGAAGGGTGCGCGCCCCAACTTGTACCCGCTACCGATTTTAACATGTTTATTAGTTTTTTTGATATAGCAGTTAGGTAAGTTATATGTTCGTCCCAAATTAGCCACATGTCCCAATATACTCCAAGGTACTTTACTGATCTGGAGTTACTAATTGAGACATTGTTTATCTTAATTTCTAATTGTGTGTCCGTTGGGAAGGACTTTTTGGATGGGGGGAAAACTAAAAACTCAGTTTTTTTTATCTGACACTTGAAGGTCGTGTCTCGTTAGCCTCGTTATAAGGCAGTCTGCCGCTCCCTCTAGCGTCGATCATACCTTAGATAAATCTTTGTTTGAAAAATACATCACTATATCGTCTGCGAATGAGATCAATCTTATTCCGGGTGGGACAGCTGCGCTGATGTCAGCTATGTACAGGTTAAATAGTGTTGGGCTCAAGATCGATCCCTGGGGGAGGCCTCTGTTAGCTTTGCCTTCTTTGAGTTTAGTACCGCCGCTGTAGAATTTTATCACCCTGTTAGTTGTGCTGTTAATGACGAATTGGGANGCCACTCTATTGATAAATGGGTTATTAACTATTAATACAAGTGATTATTACCCGGTGACCCGGGGTGCTAACTAACCAAATTATAAAATAATAAAAAATTAATGTATAACACGAGCGCCAACCACCTGATGACCTGGGGCTGTATTTACTATTGATACAAAAAATAATTTTAGAAGAGTGTATACTTGAACAAAATAAATAATAATATATAAATAGACACGAAAGCTCTTATTGGTTTACTGAATAGTGTGATGTTAGTGAGGGTGATCAATTTATTGATACTATTAATGATGCGAAACTCAAAGACTCATGATCCAACGTGTTCTAACGATAAAGAATTATTTAAAAGATTCTTTAATTTATTATTTATCAATAAACAGGCCCTTATAACACTTAGATAACTACATTCACTTAATTTTTTTTAGTACTGTTATAGTAAAATGTAGCATCCAAAGAGTACTATTTTATAGGGTTGCAATATTAGCAATTCAATATTATAATTAATTGTAAATTTTAACAAGGACCCTTAGAAATAGGCACTCGTGTTATTAGATGATAATTTATTATTGAATAGTGCGGCCAGTAAGCGCTTGTGTTATTAATTAACAATATATCAATTAATAGAGTGACCAGTAAGCTGACTCTCGAGTTATTCGAGTGATAAGCGCTTGTACATAAACATCGTATGTATACATCAACGATAGTTCACAGCTCGGCCGACGGTGGCGATGATAAAGAAGCGCTCTGAAGGTTGCGGTTGGCGTTGGCAGCAAACTTTTGACCATCGCCATCGCGGCCAACTCTGCAATGTACAGTGGTAGATGGCGCCGTGTAACGGGGCGCTAGGTATATATATAGGCTGTACATAGGTACCCTCGTTAAGTCATTTTTATTTTAGGATATTATTTTTTCAGAGCAAAAATTACTTAGTGTTGTTAAGTACATATAGTAAAAACTTTTATCATTTAAAATTAATCAGTTCAGCACCTTCTAAGAATACAAATTAATTTTCTTACTACAAATATACGGTTAGTACACATCATATATAAAATCATAATGAATTATTGTACATTAGGATTTCACATTTGACATTAGTTTAAAGAGCTTGTGTTTTATTTACTCTGGATACTCTTCCACTGGTCCAATCCTTAAAGTGTAAAAAAAACAGTTTTAAGACTACTTGAAACATCTTCTTCCAATGCATGTTTCTCTTTTGGAGTGTTGCTGACAGCAACTTGCTGTTATATATAGAAATGAAAGAATCTGAAATTTTATACTTTCGTATCTTTTTTTTTGTTTTGTGATAAAGAATGCTTTCAATCATTTAACTAATTATTTGAGCTATTTTCAACTGAACACAAGGATGCAAGGAGGTTATGTTACATGTATTGTAATGTATGGTACTGAACTCAAAAAATGCAGTACAGTCAGAACGCATTCAAGTGTGCAAATGATATACATACTCATATGTATATAAATATGTATACAAATTATACGTACTCTCACAGTCTCATACGTGATACGTGGGTCCGTGGGTGTAAGTGTAAGCAGTAGAAAGTAAATAATATATATATGGGGAATTCCACGAGAACGGAGGCAAAAAAAAAAATTTTTTTTTTCCAAACTTGGGGAATCAATAGTACTTTATTAGAGAACAATACTGGAATTTTTTCAGATTTTTTGGCCAACACCCTTGCCGTCAGCGACGGTTACAATTTTAGAATTTTTTCTTTGAAGGCAAAATTCTCAATTTTGTAGACCAATCGATGCGTATTAAAAAAAAAAAAAAAAAAAATAGCAATTCGATAGCATTTTTTCCGTAGAACACGATAAAAATATTTAAAAAAATTTTGAGGGTGGGGATAGGCGCTTGCGTTATTATTTTATTAATCATAAATAATTAAAGCAACCAGTTAGTGCTTAGGGTCGTGTGGGGATTGGCGCTTGCTTTGTTTATTAATAAATTTTATTATTTATTCAAACTCATGAGGCTGCTTATTGGCCCATTGGATTATTGGGTTAAATGGCTTGGGATTAGTTTATGAAGTTTTTGTGCATGTAATTGTGTTGAGTTATCTGGGTATTTGCGTCTAGCTTGCAATACATTGCATATTTGAATTTCCCACAAGTTTGCCAGTCAGATTTGGGGAGAACCACTGGTCTCCTCCCCCCTCCTATTCAGCTTTTGCATTTTTCTCACTAGGATCTGTAGCTATATATAGGTCCTAGTGATAAAAATGCAAAATCATATCCTCCTCACCCAACGCTGCTCCTCATCTCTGCAAGAGCCTATCACCCATTGACCCGGGGCGCTTACTGGCCACTCTTTATGAGATGGTTAGTTCATAATAAAAGCGCCTATTGGCTGGTGACGAAAAGCACTTACGGGCCACTCTATTAGTTATAAGATTGTTAATGAATAACACAAGCGCCCATCACCTGACGACTCGGGGTGCTCGCTGGCCCTCTTATAATAAATA